GCCGCAGGCCGCCCGCTCCGCGCCCTTCCCGCCCCGCCTCGCCTCGCCCTCCCACCGCAGCCCCGTCATGGTGCAGCCCCCCCCCGGGCCGGGCCCCGCCGCTCACCTGCCCCGGGCGGCTCCGCCGGGCCCTCACCGCCCCCCGCCCGGCCGCGGCCTCAGCGACGGCAACAGCGGCGGCAGCGGCGGCTCCCACCGGAAACCAACCGGCGCGGCCAATCACCGCCCGCCCTGACGTCAATGCGCCTCGCTCTCACCCAGACCCGTCGCCGCGGTAACCTTAAAGCGGCAGGGCAGGGCGCCGCGGCCCCAGCGGGACGGAAAGCTCGGGGCGAGCGGTTGCCGCTTTAAGACGCGCGAAGCCGGCGGCGGGAGGACCGGGAGCGGAGGCTCGGCCGCTCGGTCACCGCTCGGCAGCCCGCGCTGCCTCTCGCCTCTTCAGGCCTCGCCCGCAGCAGCGGGCAGCGCTGGGCTTACCCAGCCGCTGCTCAACGGCGTTCGCGGTGACGGACGCGCCGGCCCGAGAGGCGTTAGTGACCGTTGGCGGGGGGATCAGAGTGCTGGGGGTGGTAAAGTGCGTTCCGGGTTAGCCGGGATCCACCGTAACCGGTTAAAATCCCCCCACGTTGTGTGCTTAAAGCCAGTAAGAAGTCGCCCAAGGTCCCGGCTGTGGCGCAGGGAGAGGCAGATCCCATGGGAAAGCAGGGAATGAACCCGGAATCACGCGCTGGCTGAGAACGCACCCCGTGTTAGAGCTGATGTGAGAGCGTTTCAAGCAGAATTCAGTGCTTGTATCATGCAGGAGAGGCATATAACATACAAAGTGATTCCAATAGTTAGAGTCTGATGGATATTGGATATTAGAAGACAGTGCTTTTGCAATGACATGACAAGCCATCAGGAACCATGTGCCACAGCATCTCTTATTACTAGTTCTCATAGAAATAAGACTATATAAAGGACAATAAAGGATAATAGCTTACGTTAAATCTCAGAGCTTCATTTACAACAGCCCAAAGCTGGTCGCTGAGTTCACATGCATTAAATATCTGATAGCTTCTCTCTGCTACAGGTTACTTAAAAGCCAGGGTCCAGGATTTCCAGACACTAAGCCAAAAACTTTACTTTTTATGTAAATAAAAAATAAATTATATATATCGTGTAAATCATTATTTATACAAAATAATAAGGAATCAATAGTTGTATATATTAGTAAATATATATTAATTTAATAATACATTAATATCTGAAATACTGTCAGAGTACAGCATGAGTAACTACCAAATCCACTTGCTCACCTGGCAATAGTATTTCTTTCTATAACTGCAAGCTACTATAAGTTTCTGAACATTCTAAAGCAGCTGTCAGCACTCCCCACACACATTTCTGTTGGGGTTTTGTTGCTCTTTATCTTTTTGCCAGCTGTCTGCTATTGTCACATCTCACTCCTCCTTGTTTGGACAAGTCCCAAGTGCTGCGGTGGGATAGGTCCCATCTGGAACAAAGATCAGCCCCATACGTAAAACCTGTTCTGCGACATTCTCTTTATTAAGAAAACAAGGATACTGTTGTACAGCTTGCTCCTGATGCAATCCTTTCCTGAGCTCTGGAGCCAGAGTTCAGGCGGAAAGGCAGGGAACATAACAGGCTTTTGGAAGGAGCCTTGTGATGCCAACCCAAAGTCCTCCTTGTTAACCACATACAGCTCCCTCTCTGTGTGTCAGCACCAATTTGTCTCTGAAAGTTAAATCATGCTTCTCATGTATTTGTGTCCATATTCATGTGTTAATTCTTTCACTGTTAAAGACGTAAGAGGAATTAAAACCAAAGCCCTGCTCCGTTTGGTGTGGTCTGAATTACAGTCAGGCCCTGGGCTTCACTGCTTTAATGAAATAATAAAACATTCCCCAGTGAATAACCCACGTTACCGTCAGCACGATTCCCACAACTTTCATTTCAAACCATTTCATGCATTAAAGAGTTTCTCATGAAGCAGCCCTTTGCCTGAGGCTGTGGCTGGAGCAGGGCTGCCAGTGGAATGAATCCACCGACGCACAGGCTGGGAGACACAGCCAGCACGACCCTAAGGAGAGGGGGGCAAGGTGCAGAGCCCTGCTGGCTGCTTCTGCTGGCTTTTAGTGAGAACTCCATGGAACCCTTCTTGTAACTCCATTTTATCCCCTATGCTGTATTGTATTCATTTTAAAGACTAATTTAGTAGTCAGTCCTGGTTCAAACCCCATTGCAAGCACTGGATTAGCATGGCAGTGATTTCAGTGGTGGTAACCATCACGTGTCCATAGCAGTGGCACATCCAGCTTTTGAGACTGGTAAACACTGGTGGAGTCTGAGCATGACTGAGACAAGGTGACTCCCCAGGCAGGGGCTGTGAATCACCGTGTGTCACAGCACAGTGCTGCAGGTAGGACTTCTTGGCTTTAACAGCCTGATTGCTCTCGGTTTTAAACCAAGAAACACTGCCTGAAGGATGATCTTTGCAGGCAGATTCAGGGTGGAAGTGTCCAGAGGTATTTAGGTCCCTGCAAGTTGACTTAGCTACCAAACTCCCGTGGAGAACCTGGACCAGGATGTCCACTCATGGCTGTAAAGCACTCTGTTAGGCTGATGTATTTAGCCACTTCTGCTTCAGCCTCATACAAAGAATTCAAAAGCACTATTTTCATGATTAAAACCAGCAGCCCTCTTCGAGATCATCACGATCCCTCCATCAGCAGGGTGACAATGCCACCTCATCATTCCCTGGCATTTGGCTCATCACCATTTTGCATTAAGTCATGTAGGCTACATACTCCTGGTCTCATAAAAGACCCATAAATTTGTCTGTAAAAAGCATCTGAAATATCCCAAGTGGGAAGATAATTTGTTTGCTTTTTAACAAAGCTTCCCAGAAGTTCTGACAAAGACTGAATTTATTACTCTAATTTTTATGGTGCTATTTATCAACACGGTGATCAACAGTAATAGAAGCTAAGAATGGTTGCTGGGAAGAAATCAAGGCTTCCTATTCTGCTCCCCACCATGTGATTGTACAAACCCCACAGAGATACTGACTTGGTTTTATTCTGCAAGTATAAAGCACTGCAGCATCCACCAAGGAAGTAAACTAGATCCAAGGTGGTTGGGTAGGAAGGCTGGGCATGGAGCAGTGAGCGTGGCACAAGGAGCAGTGGTAAAGGAGTGCAAAGAGCAGCTTGAAGATAAAGAGGCTGAAGAATTGCTGGATCCATTTGAAAAAGGTTATAGATCACCAAGCCAGAAAAATACTTCCAACAGCAATCTTAGGAAGAACAGTGATTGGGGAGCTCAGGGTTAAATGAAATTCTATGAGCCATGATGAGAAATGAAGGCACAGAAGTTGGCTATCCCTGCTATGTGCAGAGAACAAAACCAGCTTCTTGATGGGTACTCCAGTGGCAGGAAAATTAACAGTGCCCTTGGGTATCTGGAATGCTGCACAGGAGTTACCGTGGTGGGGTTTCTGCTGAGGACCATCATGTTCTGCCCGTGAGGTACCACCGTCAGACATGGCTGAAAGCAAATGAATCGAGCAAGTGTCAGATTGAAGGAGCCAATGTTTGACCCACACACAGTTCTATATGTTAAATCACACAAATTCATCACCCTTGATGTACAAGCAGAGTCCAAAGAGGCACAGCCCAACACATGGCTGCTGCATGCGCACCATCTTGAGGTAGGGTAAATGGGGAATGAGGAAGCTATAATGGTACAGAAAGGTTTCTTCTACCAAACAGAAGCTGCCGTTAGCCCCAACAGCCCTAAAATCCGCATTGACCAGCAATCAGAAAGTCAATGGAGCTAAAACCTGTGAGCTTCCTGCGGGCCATGACAATGCCAGAGGCAGAATTCATGCTGTGGCCTTTGGGCATGTCTTCTTGTATTTTGTTTAACTAACAGAGCAAATAACCAACTCTTGCTGCTGCACCCATGTCTCATTGAGACTGTCCAGTGTGATTCATAGGAAGATCCACAGATTAGGAGCCAAAAGACAGCAAACCATACTGCTGTTGAACAATAGGCTACTTGAGGCCAGACTCTGGAGTTGGCTGTAGAAACTTGACAGCTTTCAATATACCTGCATGCAAGGAGAAACAAAGCCAGGTAGTGTCAGCCTCTGGGTGTGTTACAGCAGAAATAAACCTGTTATCAACATCCGTAATTCTGTGATAAAGGAACAGAGCAAGGAATTGATACGATCAATAACTACAGCTTGAAAGACAGTACTTGAGATTCCTGCTCTAACTGTGCCATGGGTGAGAAACCACTGTGTACCCTGAAAGGTGGTGGCAGGAAGCTGCCTTTGGTCTTGCTGCACATCAGCTGGGCAGACAGCGTGTGAAACGGTTCCCATGCACAGAACAAGTCTGCTGTGAGCAAAGCAAAACTGATCTCAGATCATTTCCATATGTTACTTTGAAGAAGAACACGACTGGTAAGACTCAAACAGAGTAACCAAGAGCCAAGAAAAAAAATGTCCTGAAGCACCCAGATCTTAAAGATAGGCCAGCCAGGGAATCCATTTACATCTGCGAGACGTGCCTGCTGCAACACAGCCCTGCATACACACAGCATGATTCCCAGCTGGAAGGCTCCCAACACCCAAGGGGCAACGTTGGGAACATTCTACCTCCTGAGTAAGTGTTGAGCAGCTCGGCAGCATAAGAGAGGCAGTGCAGTCATTACCTGAGGTATGTCACACATTGAAAAAGCCAGGATACCCTGATTAAATGCTAACACAGATAACGCTGTTCTGTTGCCATCCAAGCGTGTTTCACTTGAACTCAGTGTTCCCTCTTCTGACTTAAAGCAGATGAGTCTAGATCAGCAATTACCCTGCACCTCAACAGCAAGGCGAGAAGTTTCTAAGCACCCTCCTGACAGTATTGGAAACTGCTTGCTTAGGTGCCTATGTACAAGCATAAAGGACTTCCAGGACTCTCCTTCTCAGCTCTGAGTGAGGACAGGGATGAGCACAGTGGGATAACAGATGCAGGCTGGGGTGCTAAGTTGCCTCACGAGAGATGAGAGATATAAAACAGCATCCAAAGGATGGCAAAAAAGACCCTTGGAGAGGGAAGGAGATGGGAGAGCAGCAGGTCTTTACCTCCTGCAGTTTGGATGTGAACTGCCTTTGTTTTGCATCCTTAACTTACACAACCTCTGGGCAGCTCCAGCAGTTCATGAACTGCCCGACCATCTGCAAATGTGATTCTTGACTTTAAGATCTCTCTGACGCAAACTGAATTAAAGAGCAATGAGACAGTGTGCAGCTACTGTTGACTTCTGTTCCGGGAATGCATGTGAAATACTACCAGTGTTTGTTTTGTAATGGAATGTAAATACCCCCATTGAAAAGAATCCTCAGTTGCCCTGCTTTTAACATAGAGGCAGTCTGGGGAGAGCTCCCTCTCAGAGCATCATCTGTGACACAGTTCTCTTGCGAGATGCACACATAAAAGCATTTTAAACAGTCATTTGCTTATGTAGTGGTCTCTGAAAGCAGGTGGCAAAGTAAACACATCACACAGGCGGTCAGATCCACTATTCTTGGTCTGGACTGACATCCAGACAATGCCTGGACTAACATCTAACAAGCTGGCTGCAGAATCAAGCGATTTCTGATGCAAGTTTCTGCCTCTCTCCCCCCAAGATAATAGAACATTTTCCCAGATAGAAGGAACCCGCTCGAAAAACAATAGGTCTTTGAAATGTCAGCTTGCTTGGCATGTGCTGTGTGCCCACAAGAATATGATATAGCTTTAATTCTCCAGCTGTAACCATTAAATGAGAAGTAACAAGATGATGAGGGGATGTAGGTCTAGTTTCCTGCTCTGCTACTCATTTCCAGCCTCTCTGTGGAAGTCATTTTGCCCTGTTCCATTTTTGCTTCCCAGAGTAGAATGGGGATAAAAGCACTGCCTGGGCTGAGGATGAATCCAGGCTCATGAGATGTTTGTGTGCTCCAGTAATGGGCATCACTGGTTGAATTACTTGAATTAGCTTTAAGTTTATTAAGTTACATGAGAACTGGTTCAGGATGGGTTGCAAAACAAGTCATGAAGCTGCATCCACGTGAACTTGGAGGCTCTGGCGAGCAGCAGCTGCAGTTACCTTGGTTGTGTGTATACCACAGTCCCATGGGCAGCACAGATACCTCCCTGCATTCTCTGTCTCAACAAGAGCCAAGTTGTTTCTGCTGTGAATGTATTTATTATACCAGTGTTTTGTGCCGTTTCTCCTCAAAGCCCCTCCTTGTCTAGCACAGAAGAGGAGAAGTCACCCAGGTCATGAGACTGACTTACGTGCTCAGACCTTGTGCAGGGAGCCTGTGTTCCCAACGTCATCCCTCCACAGCCTCTCAAAGCAGAGCTGCTCCTCTGGTCTGCTCACACCAGGCTGTGCAGGAACCCAATGTTCCTCCGTCTGTTGGGACCTCGCTGTGCTCAGCCTGCCTCTGCTGTGTTGGCTGTTCTGATCTCTCATGTCTGCACACTCTTTGATCTCTACATAATTACAGAGGAATTGCAATTAGTGCTGTATCCAAGAGTTAAAGGGAAGGCAAAAGGTTTTCCCTTTCCAGTTTTAACCCCTTCACTCTTTGTGATACAGGTCTTATGGTTCTCAAAGAGACTCTAAGAGACCCATATGCACCCCAAAGAGCTCAGCCACCCTCCGCCTGCACCACTCCTGTGAGCATCATGTCAACGCTATTCATCAAAGCTTCCAATGAGATAATCCATTGCCAGGGTAAGTGTGATGTCCTAATGCTAGTTAGGGAAACGGGATATTTGCCAGAGCAAGGATAAGATAAGGAGCATTAGGTTGTAAGCTCTCCCCTGACCTTGGCAAGCACTTCTGAAAGGGCTGCTCATTGAATGGCAGGATCCAGCTGAGGGCCAGCACCTAAAACTGAAAAGGAAAAGCTACTAGAAGCAGAGCTCTCAAACACTGGTGATGTTCAGACTGGCTGTGGAGTCAGGCTCTTGCCCTTCCATCACCCTGACTGATGTACGAGCCAGCAGAAGGTCCTTAAGGCCTTAATGCATCTCTCCTGATTTCTGTGCCTTAAGCAGAGTGCGGTGATACTTCTTGTATGCATGTGGCAAGCACACTCCCATGGTGTACCCCTTCCCCTCCCCACACCAGGTTAGTACCTGTCCAGACAATGCAGCAGGACAAGCCAGCCTGCTGGTGACCAGCACTAATATGTTCTGCCCATTGGTTTTTCTTTCCACATTTATATATTTGATACAGGAATCATGATATCAAAAAAATGTTTAAATCCCATATTCCTTTCTATAGTGTTCTATTGGCAGAACTATTCAGCTCCCCGAGGTCAGTGCTTTCCCCTACATCAGCACTGAACCCAAGTGGAAGTACACTGGATAATCCAAGGAGCAAGCAAAGACTGCTGTCTCCATGTAACAAGCACTGGCTAGAAACATCACTGTGTTCAATCATCAGTGGGTACTAATGCCAGACTGGTAATGAAGCACGTGTGCAGCCGGACTCACAGCACCAGATGGCAGCATTTATTGTCTGGCGCTCCTAGAGTTTTCCTTGCTATGAGAAACATATGCTGTCCCTGTTAGACATTCACCTTCACCTGCTCCCTCCTGCCCATTTTCCCACTGGAAGGCTCAAGTTCCTCAACAAGCTCATAGTTATCATGAGCACCAGTGAAGGATATTTAGCAGATTTATCCCCTGCCAAGACCTTTCTTTCAGTAGCAGATTTCATTGTGTTGGAAGTGACCTTAAAGCTCATCCAGCTCCAACCCCTGCCATGGCCAGGGACACCTTCCACTACAGCAGATTGCTCCAAGCCCCATCCAACCTAGCCTTGAGCACTGCCAGGGATGGGGCAGCCACAGCTTCACAGAGACAAATCCTTTTATCCGAGAGGGAAGAGCTTGGCTGGAATTTAAACACTGAGCCAGGAAAAGCCTAAAAGCCATCAAAAGGTTCCTAACCCTTTTCACATCAAATGACCACATGCAGGATGCTGTGGCTGGGAGAGGCCCTTCTAGACACAGTGGCTGGTTCTTCAGCTTCTTCACCTCTGTTTCTTCTTTAAGGCTTGAATCCATACACCCAGGGTGCAAAACCCAAACCAACATCTGTCACATGAAGTGTGCTACATTGAAAACCATTCCTGATGGGATGGCCACACTCCGGCTGGTTTCAGAGCTAATGACTGAGCTGAGGCTGTTGCTGTTGATGGTTACTGCAGTCACAGGATTGTCAGGAAAGGGAAGCCAACTTCTGATACGTTCTTCCCAGCAAATGCAAGTATCAGAGCAAGAAGGGTCCTTCTGGTGCCGGCAGGGCTCTCTGCCGTCTCTGCCAGGACATATTCCCTAGGTGCGACATATTCCAAGATCCCAAGAAAGATCTTGGTCACCAAAGGTTTTCACACTGCAGCAGAGGACAAGAACCGTTAGTTTCTCCCTCCTCTGCTAATTAAATGGCCGTTGTAGGCAGAGAGGAAGATTGACAAACAGGGTTGCATCAGTCAAGCTGTGAAAACAGCTGTGTTGCCCAAGTCTCTGATGCTTCTGTGTCTCTGCTTTATCAAGGCTTCGCTATAAAACCAGCTCATGGCGATTTCCCAAGCAGCAAACACCCAACTGCAGCAGCTGCTTAGAAGCTGTTTGGTTGAAATACAAGGCACTGACTCCCTGGGCTGGTCTGTGGGAGGGGGGTTGGGTTTAGGTCTGAACTTCTTCCTTCTCCGCAAGCCCCTTTTCTGACATCCCCGTTTCAAAACCAAATGCTGGACCGCAGGGATGGTCTTAGGCCATTCAAAACCAGCTTTTTCTGATTCATTCTGAGGTTCTATTAGCGCTTCCCTATTAGGCCCCCTCAAGAAGATATCTCCCCCTCAAAACATGATGAATTTCAAGTTCTTCCCATGCCACCTTTGCAGCATCACTCATGTGCTCTGCATCCCAGGGACACATCCCATTTGCCACCAGCCAAGCTGATGGGTTTAAGCTGTCCGTTTTCATACATCCTCCCCCAAATTAATCATCTTCACAGTCACAGGTTTTAAACTCTCTGACAAGCAGCAAAAGGGGGTTAACCCAGGCAGAGATCCGTGTCCACATGGGCTCTGCCTCATTGGGATGGTATTGATTTTTCCAGCAGCCCTGCGGTGCACATCCAGTGATCCAGGGCAATGACTTCAGCACTCACATGAGGATTACTCATCTAATGAGGGGTTTGCAGCTCTTGTCCCTGTTCCTGTGTGCTCTCTGCCGTCCCACCGACTTCCAGAACGTTTCTCATGTAACCACTGGCTCTGAGGGAGGTTGTTTCCCTTTGTACTTTCCCTGGTAAGTTTGGCCCCATAAACAGCAGCGCGCAAATCGCATGGATAAAGCGCAAACCCAGTATATTCAGAGCGTAAATCATGTGAGTAAAGGGAACGTTAACGCACGCACACCTAACGCGCCGCGCGGCCGCGGACGGGAAGGGGTTGCCCTGCAGCAGCGCTGCAGTCCCCGCCTTCCCGCGCTCCACACCCGCACCGGGCCCCGCGGAGCCGCCCTAGGCCGCGGCCCGCAGCGACGGGCGCCAGCTCCGGCCGCGTCTGATGCAACCACAACACCACCACGTGCCCACGAGCAGCTGATGCGCGCCGCCAGCCAATAGCGGCCCGTTCCGCCAACCCCGGAGGCGGGACTATGGCGTTTGCTCCTCGCTGATAGGTCAATGCGAAAGTCTATCCGTGGGTGGGGCGGTTCCTCAGGCCAATGGGAGGCGGCACCGCCCCTGCGCGCCGCGGAGCGGGCCGGGGGCCGGAGCGGGCCGAGCTGGCGCGCCCGCTCCATGGAGGCCGCGGCCGAGGCCCAGGCCCAGGCCCCGGCCCCGGGGTCGCCGGCGGCGCTCAGCTGCTTCTCCTACAACCAGGACTGCACGTAAGCGGGGCGGGGGCGCGGGGCGGGCGGCGGCAGCGGGCGCGGGACACCCTGTCCACGGGTGCGGCTCCGCGGGGCCCCGTGCGAGGCTCCCCGCGGTGCAGACGGGGCCCTGCGCGATCCCACGGCCCCGCGGCTCTCGGGACACGGCCTCGGGTTCCCCCCGGTTCGGTCTCTGGGAGGCAGCAAATTCCGAGGATCACCGGGATTTCCCTCCCCAGCGGCTCGGGACGGCCGGAGAGGGGACTCCGAGGGCTTGGTCTGCTGACCTGAGGCCACTTTGTAGGTGGCAGAGCCACAGGGCTCTTGATGAGCCGTCTGTGCCCCATCATGGAACGGTTTGGGTTGAAGGGACCTCAAAGCTCCTCCAGCTCCAACGCCTGCCACGGGCAGGGACAGCTTCCATAGAGCAGCTTGGTCCAAGCCCGTGTCCAGCCTGGCCTTGAACATTGCCAGGGATTTGTGAGCAATTGTGAATGCTCCATCCCATCACCTCATAGGGTTTCATGGAGTCTCTCACCATTGCTAACCTGTGCTTTACCCGTTTCAAAGCCCATCATTTAAGAACCGTCTCTGAATGGCACAGGAAACATCCTGAAGCAGCGAGACACACACACAGCAGCGGTCACAGCACAGATCATGGGGTACAAGATCAGAACCACAGCCACCAGCCTCACACCTGGAACATCATTACCTTTGCAGCACTGCTTTGTATTTGCTGTGCCTAAACAAAGAGTGCATTGATGGGTGCTGCCCTGGTGCTGACGTGAACGGCTGGGCATCACAAACCCTGTGCATCAGGGCACTGGGCAGGTCTTAAATCAGCACTGATTTAAGACCTGCATGTTGCTGCTTACTATATCTAGCACTGAGCAGAGCCAGCACTTGGCATGACTGTGTCTCATACTCCATGCCTGCATCCATTGCTATTAGTGAGAGCAAACCTTCCGTAGCCTTCATAGGTCAGTGTCATGCAGATGGATCAGCTCCTGGCATGGGAAAGAGTCCCCTTTTATATCCTTAAGGTCCTATCTGCAGCCTTTCAGGTTATAATATACCTCTATTCCTCCAGCAGCCACACTGCCATATGAGTGATAGTTTGCCACCTTACAGGATACTTGCCTTTTGTAGGCTGCAGTAGCCTCAGATGGAAAAACAGATTCTTGGGTTTGTTATTTTATATACTTTGGATTGAGAGTGGAAACTGAAGTTGTGCCTTCATGGAGGTCACTGAAGGAATTACTTCTGCGTCATGGCTTAATGCCAGCCACAGCTAAGCCCCAAGCAGTTGTTCACTCACTCCCTTCCAATGCAGTGGGGGAAGAGAACCAAAAGGATAAAAGTGAGAAAACTCATGGGCTGAGATAAAGACAGGGAAAAAAGATAGGGAAAGCAAAAGCCACATGCACAAGCAAAGCAAAAGAAGGAATCAGTTCACCACTTCCCATTGGCAGGCAGGTGCTCAGTCATCCCAGGCAAGTAGGGCTCCATCATGCCTAACAGCAACTTGGGAAGACAAACACCATCACTCTGAACGCCCTTCCTTCCTCTTCCTCAGCTTTATATGCCAAGCATGACATCATACGGTATGGAATATCCCTGGGATAAGCTGTCCTGGCAGTGTCCCCTTCTAAGTCCTTGTACACCCCCAGCCTCGTTACTGAGGAGCAGAAAAGCCTCGACTCTAAGCACTGCCCAGCAGTAACTAAAATATCCCTGTGTTATCAGCACTGTTTCCAGCACAAATCCAAACCATTGCTCCATACAAGCTAATCTGAAGGATTAACTCCATCCCAGTCAGAACCAGCACACCCTGCCTGCAGCGACGCTTGCTATCACTTGGAGGCCTTAGGATCTGAACTAGCAGGTTTTTGTCTTGTCCTTGCAGCTCCCTGGCAATTGGAACCACAACTGGATACAGGCTTTTCTCCTTAAGCTCTGTGGAACAACTGGACCAGGTCCATGAAAGCAGTAAGTGTCATGTTTCACTATTGGCTGACAGGCTTTACCTGTGTTACTGCAGTTGAGTCTGCCTCAAGGGGGTGATTCTGCTCAGAGAGCTGTTTCTGCTGTGCCATATCAGGAGATGAACAGCCCTGGTTACTGCCCGGTGCACAGCAGCCTTTAGAGTGAGCTACAGCCTTGGAGGAGCTTCTGAACAGTCATTAGGACTTTAACCTTATGGGAGTCCTTTAACCCTGTTACAGTTCAGCTTCTACTCACTGCTGCCAGTTTGACAGCAGCAGTTTGCACCAACATTCAGAAGTAGTTCACCACTGGCATGTTTCACATACATGGACTGCAGACTCCCAGCACAGCCACTGGATAACTTGAGGCTTTTAGTCCAATGTGGTATTTACTGGATGTTTTTAACATGTTTCCCGTGCAGGAAGGTCATTCCTAACAGGCTGTGCTCAGAGCAGCATGCAGTGCACTTCAGAGCCCAAAACAAGTCAGGCCTCAGGGAGCACATGCTCTAGTTCAGACCATGGGCAGAAGTGTTTCAGCTGAGATGCACTAAAGATAAACCTCACAGCTGGGATATGCTGGTCTCTTTCCACTGGCTGTAGAAGGAGCCTCAGCAACCAGACATAGCTGCATCATCTGGAGCAAAGCCCAGGCTCCTTTCCCCTTTGACTCACAGGGGAACTAAGCTCCTGTAAAGCAACAAGTCATAGGCTTGCATTAAAAGTATTTAGGAATTTGGGTTGCCCGCAGAGTCAGGCCAAAGAGAAACAAATCCCTGCTGATGACACGCTCAAGGTGATGGCTTGAGATGTGAGCAAACCCACATCATGGCTGTGAGCAGTCCTTGTGCCTCCAAGGCAGCACAGCCCAAGCACCATTCAGGATATCTACACTAGAAGTCATAGCCCCTGATGGCTTAGGTACAGGCCCACCAAGACCATTGTAATGGTGCCTCCTCAGCACAACAGGAGCCATCCCAAACATGGTCTGCAAGACATGCCACACCACTGTCACCACAGCCACGCTAGAGCTCTCTGAAGACCACAGTCCCAGTAACAGGGAGGGTATAAACACATCAGGCTTCCCTAAGGAAGCCAGGAGAAACAAGACTCCATGCAGAGTAAACAGCGAGTTACACACTGTTTATGCCTTACCTCACTAAGCCTCAGCTTGCTCACTCCAGGAAAGTCCCTAACCAAGCTTGCTGAGCTCCTCCTTTTTATATCCCCTTCCCAAGCATTAACTACAGCTGGAGGATGCAGGGATTAGCCTCAGCTGGAGAGCCCTGCCCAGGAGAGGCACAACAGCCCTGTTAAAGGGGGATGGCTGAAGTTTTGCCTTAGGGGAAGGTTCATTAACCCCTTCCTGCTGTGACCTAAATGCTTTGTGCCAGGTATGAGAAATCTGTACCAAAAGCAGACGTTGAACA